TGGGTAAAGACTTCATAAATAAAACACCAAAAGCAAGGGCAACAAAAGCCAAAATTGACAAATGGGATCTAATTAAACTAAAGATCTTCTGCACAGCAAAAGAAACTATCATAAGAATGAACAGGCAACCTACAGAATGGGAGAAAATTTTTGCAATCTATCCATCTGACAAAGGGCTAATATCCAGAATCTACAAGGAACTTAAATTTACAAGAAAAAACAACCCCATCAAAAAGTGGGCAAAGGATATGAACAGACACTTTTCAAAAGAAGACATTTATGTGGCCAAGAAACATACAAAAAAAAGCTCACCATCACTCATCATTAGAAAAATGCAAATCGAAACCACAATGAGATACCATCTCATGCCAGTTAGAATGGTGATCATTAAAAAGTCAGAAAACTACAGATGCTGAAGAGGATGCAGAGAAATAGGAATGCGTTTACACTGTTGGTGGGAGTGTAAATTAGTTCAACCATTGTGGAAAGCAGTGTGGCAATTCCTCAAGGATTTGGAACCAGAAATACCATTTGACCCAGCAATACCATTACTGGGTATATACTCAAAGGATTATAAATCATTCTACTATAAAGACACATGTACATGTATGTTTCCTGCAGCACTATTCACAGTAGCAAAGACTTGGAACCAACCCAAGTGTCTGTCAATGATAGACTGGATAAAGAAAATGTGGCAAATATACACCATGGAATACTATGCAGCCATAAAAAAAATGAGTTCATGTCCTTTGCAGGGACATGGATGAAGCTGGAAACCATCATGCTTAGCAAACTAACACAGGAACAGAAAACCAAACACTGCATGTTCTCACTCTTCAGTGGGAGTTGAACAACAAGAAAAGATGGACACAAGGAGGGGAACATCACACACTGGGGCCTTTTGTGGGGTGGGGAGCTAGGGGAGGGATAGCTTTAGGGGAAATACCTAAAGTAGATGATGGGTTGATGAGTGCAGCAAACCACCATGGCACATGTATACTTATGTAAAAAACCTGCACATGTATCCCAGGACTTAAAGTATAATAATAGTAATAAATGAAACTAGTCTGAAATTAAAAGTTTACTTTAAAAAATTTAAAAATTTTAAAGCAATTTTAAAAAAAGAAAAGAAAAAAAAAGATTGGCAAGTTCTTTAAAAGTGAAACATCTACATATCATCTGATCTAGCCAATCCACTCATCAGTATTTACTCAGGAAAAATAAAAATATATGACCACAAAAATACTTGCAAAAGGATGTGTATAACAGCTTTATTTCTAACAGTCCAAAACTGGAAACAACACAAATGTCCACCAATAGGCAAATGGATAAACAAACTGGTGTAGCTATAAAATAAAATACTATTTGGAATAAAAAGAATGAAGTATAATTGTGTGGATGTGGATGTATCTCAAAATAATTATAATGAGAAAAAAAAGTACAACCAAAAAAAAAATAAAAGAGTATCTATTTTATGATTTTATGGAAAATTCTAGAAAATGCTAACTAATACATAGTTAAGTTACAGAAAGCAGATCAGAGGTTGCCTGGGGAGTGGGGGATGAGGAGGAACAAGAAGATCATAGGGATAGGCTAGCAAAGAAACAAGAAAATTTTCGGGGGTTATGGACAAGTTTATTATCTTGATTAGGCTGATGGTTTCACAGATGTAAAACTATGTCAACATTTACCAAAGTCCACATTTTAAATATGTGCAAAATTTAACAAACTGTACACTTAAATATAAAAATTATATCTCAGTAAAGCTGTTTTCAGAAGTTTGTATGTGAAGCATAACCTCAATAGATGCATAATTATGATGAATAATTTTCAAATTATTAGAGATATTGAAAGAGAGAGAGACAGAAAGAGAAAGAGAGAGAAAATTGACAAATCTAGCAAAGCAAAGGAAAAGATACAAATGGGATGGGGAGAAAGCACAGCAAATGAGACATACAAAATGATATTTGTAAAATGTAATTGACTATGTAAGTAATCAGACCTAACTCCATCTCAGCCTCTGCTTCCTGAATGACCTTGCTGACAAACCAGCTCTAATCTCTAGATTCTCTAATTTGACAGGTCTAGCATGGATTTGGAGAATATATATAATTTTTTATATGATTCTAATGTTCAACCATGTTCCAGCCCCATAGTAGAGATTTTCATACAATTATTTCCTGTACAATATAATTTAACTTTTATAAATTATCTTCAAGTCTTTTCTGTGATATCATTTAACATGCCCGTTTTGACATTATCAAGTTAAGAGGTAAGTATAGTACTGTCTTACTTTGTTTTTCAGTAATATTTGAACAGATAGTCTTGAACCTAACTATGAGCCTCAGCTCAACCAGGATTGGATGAAGAATTAATAAAGTTCAAGGACAGTGTAATGATGTCTATTGTGAAAATTTCTTGATAATATTTATATGCAGAAACCTAATGGATAATGCTTTTCGGCCAAGTCAAAATGGTTTGATAAAAATATCATGCGCCAAGTGTCATTGGATTAGTTTTACATCGAAAATAGACTAAAAGTCCCTTTAAGGATAAAGTCCACAGTAACTGATGTGTCTAGAGGGAGAAAAATATACTTATAAGACAAAATAGTTGTCTTAAGAGTCTCAGATGGCATGATTGAAGAATGAATATATTTTGTTTTAATTTCTATCATAAAGAAAAAACTTTTAATGTTTTTTCTGCTATGGAACAAATAGACGTATTTATTAATTAAAAATAATTTCACGGTATTAAAAGTGATTCATATAAACATTGCCAATATTTTGCTCCACAGAAATATGGAGGGGAGGGTCATGCCATCCCATGGCCACTTGCTTATCATGTAGCTCATATTTTATAAATAAATACCCCATGTCCTCTATGGTGCATATTTTGCTGCTTATATGGTCAATAGACATTAATTATTCAATAAATATATCACAATAGAATGTACACCATAAAAATACACAATTCCAATGTGGCACATCTGCAAAACTGTTAGGCATCAAGTATCAACGCCTCTGTAGAGATATAATGAGTTCACAAACAAATTTACAAGAAAAAAACAAACAACCCCATCAAAAAGTGGGCAAAGGATATGAACAGACATTTCTCAAAAGAAGACATGCATACAGCCAACAGACACATGAAAAAATGCTCATCATCACTGGCCATCAGAGAAATGCAAATCAAAACCACAATGAGATACCATCTCACACCAGTTAGAATGGCGATCATTAAAAAGTCAGGAAACAACAGGTGCTGGAGAGGATGTGGAGAAATAGGAACACTTTTACACTGTTGGTGGGATTGTAAACTAGTTCAACCATTATGGAAAACAGTATGGCGATTCCTCAAGGATCTAGAACTAGATGTACCATATGACCCAGCCATCCCATTACTGGGTATATACCCAAAGGATTATAAATCATGCTGCTATAAAGACACATGCACACGTATGTTTATTGCGGCACTATTCACAATAGCAAAGACTTGGAATCAACCAAAATGTCCATCAGTGGCAGACTGGATTACGAAAATGTGGCACATATACACCATGGAATACTATGCAGCCATAAAAAGGATGAGTTTGTGTCCTTTGTAGGGACATCGATGCAGCTGGAACCATCATTCTCAGCAAACTATTCAAGAACAGAAAACCAAACACCGCATGTTCTCACTCATAGGTGGGAACTGAACAATGAGATCACTTGGACTCGGGAAGGGGACCATCACACACTGGGGCCTATCATGGGGAGGGGGAGGGGGGAGGGGGAGGGTTGCATTGGAGTTATACTTGATGTAAATGACGAGTTGATGGGTGCTGACGAGTTGATGGGTGCAGCACAGCAACATGGCACAAGTATACATATGTAACAAACCTGCACGTTATGCACATGTACCCTAGAACTTAAAGTATAATAATAAAAAAAAAAAGAGATATAATGAGTTCAGAAGAAGCTAATGTTCTCACAGGTGCATTCACTCTCTTACGAACATGACCAAAAATATAAATCCATTTTTATTAAATAGTATAATTCTTATTATAATCTCACATCATATTTAATCTGGTTGATTAAAAGAGAAAGTGGCAACTGTAGAAACAGGAATCTTACAGATTTTAAAATAGAAATTTAGGGAAAGGCACATTTAAACAATGTTGGAGGGAATTTGACATATATATTCAACACAATTTGACATATATATCAATAGTAAAATGCACAAACCCTTTGACCTGACAATTCCACTCAAGAAAGTTATCCTAGAGATATATTCAAACAAAAGCAAAGAGATATATGCACAAGAAACATTCTATGTGGTATTGTTTATACCACAAACAAAACTTAAAAGGAATAAACAAAACTTAAAAGAATCTACATGTCTATCATTAGGGTTGTGTTTAATTAAATAATGATATAACTATACAATGGAATTTTATATAGCCATTAAAAAGAATGAGGTAGCTCTACTTGTCATGATATAAAATGATCTCTAAGACTTGTATTATTAGGTTTTCATATGCATAGAACCGTAATGCAGTGTATTGCTCCCACTGATGCCTTGACAAAGATATGTGTATGTATATGTAAATAGACATATAAATAGACACATATACCATAGGCATATAGACATGTCATATGTACATTAAAATATTCTGAAAGCATACACAAGAAACTGTTCACGATTGCTCCTTCTTCAGTTATTTCTTGAGGAAATTTGGTTTCATTATTTACTGCCCTGCACAATTTGAATATTTGGTCATGAGCATGTATTTTCTTTGTAATAACATCAGTTCTTCAGAGAACTAGCTCGTAGCACCCAAGAATAAAAAATTCCAATTATACAAGGATATGAATGAGAATCCATTAAAATGTCTTCTAAGAACCTTGGAAAACCTAATTTCAATATAAGTCTTCATTCCAGAACTGTGAGAAAATCAGACAGTCATTATAATGTATCTCTTTTGTTGTTGTTTCTTGGTACTAGAGTCCAACAACTTATAAAGTATGGAGGTCTGTGCCAACTTCACTTTGTAATGCCTGAGACGCTTTCACCTTGTTTGTAGTATCATAGAGAGGATTGTTTTTCTCTGTGTAGCTGGCATAGGGCTGCATTTCATCCTAAGAAAGAACTCAAAGTTAAAATCAATTCAAAAAATCATTATAGAAACTATCTGTATTTTTGTAACAGTTTCCCATAGCTTTAGTATTTCTAACAGGTGCTCAAGAGTGCTTATAATTGTGTTTCTGGGCCTATATAAACATAAGAGCAGGCTTTGTTCTACTATTTTATCAAAAAGTATTTGTTAACTACGTAAGTCTCTGTGTGGAGATAATGGCTCTGTGAAAGTAGGAATGGAGATGAATAAAGTGATATGAGAAGTACTCCAAAGGAGAGCTTTGGAGACTTAGTAAGCTACTTACAATAAGAGATTAAGGGGCAGGATATGTTTTAAGTTTGTGTAAGAGAAACATAATGATAGTATTGAAAAGGAAAAGTCAGGAATTAGAGATGCTTTCAAATTGGTGACAAGAAACACCAATTCATTTTCTCTAAAGATTACAGTCCAAAGGAGACAAGCATCATGTGTATTAGGATATAGTTCATGAATTGAAAATGTGGATCTAGAGTGATGTATAAATAGTATTTGATAGATAATTAACAAAGTAATCACACATATAAGCATTGTAAATCAGAATTGTTTTAGTTTTTCAACTGAAACACTAATACTGATACAAACTACAGATTATGTTGCTAGATTTTCAGACTATTGGCTTAAGTTTGCAATTACTCTTTTTTATCTTACCTCCTCAACAACTGAAGTAGATTCTGTTTTATTCAAATTATATTTTCTACAAAAATAAAATAAATTGAAGTGAATGGAGGAAACATCATTGTTTAGATTGAAAATGGGAAAATAAGACAGTATACTATTGACAATTGTGGTTAATTTTGATAGAAGCCATAATAAATCAGAAAGAAACCACTAGAAATAAGTGAAGAATACTGCTCGTGGTTAATATCCCCAAATAAGAATATTCTGGATTTTGAAAAACTGAAATTATGCAATAGAAGCTTGATGCAATTGAATGCATGTAACAACTCCTCTTTGTTGCATAAAGGAATTGTAATTATTTACCCAAATGTAAAAATTAACATGCATTTTCTCTCCCAAGATCCTGCCCTAAATGGCCTAATTTTCCATGCTTCTGTGCCAAATCAACCTAGCAAAGTCTCTCTCATCATTCAAAGTAGTCCAAGTCTAACACCTTCAAGATTTGATTATGGGACATTTGATGTTAACATCCTAATATACCCAATACAATCAATTCCATATTTCTGACTCTTTTCTAGCCTAATAAAGCTGAAGAAGAAGAAAACATTCATCAGTCAATACCTGCAGCCACTGATTTTCAATAACCAAATGAATCCCACGATGGTCAAAATAATAATAGTAAGGATGACATATGGCATATATAATTTTGCTGATTTTTTGGCACCTGGAACTATAGACAAAAAAATATATGGCTCAAATGTGGTACAATCCGAATAATGTACTATCTGATTATTCAGTGTTAAAAAGAAATGAGCTATCAAACCATAAAAAGACATGGAGGAATTTCAAATGTATATTACTAAGTGAAACATGCCAATCTGGAAAGGTTACATATTATATGATTCCAATTGTAAGACATTATGGAAAAGACAAAACTAGGGAATAGTCAATAAATTATTGATTATCTGGTGGTGAGAAAGGAGGGAGGAATAGGAAGAGCAAGGAGGATCGTGTAGGACAATAAAGCTGTTCTGTATAATACTATACTGGTGGATACATGTCATTACACGTTTGTCCAAACCCATGGAATGTACAACACCAAGAATGAACTCTAATGTAAAGTATGGACTTTACTGGGTGGTAATGTTGTATCAGTGGAGGTTCAACAATTCGAATAAATGTAACAGTCTGGCACAGGTGTAGGTGGGAGAGGTTGGGCATGGGCAAAAGCAGGGGATTTATGGGAAATTTCTGTACTTCCACTCAATTTTGCTGTGAACCTAAAACTGCTCTAAAACTTAATCTCTACTAAGAATAAAGTTATCTATATTTATATCCATATCTATCTATCTATATAGATGGTTTCATGATGTCTCACAGTACATGAAATTCATATCTGTAATTTCATTTTCAACACTTCTGACCCATTAATAGTTTGAGAATTATTAAAATAAAACTGCTTTTTCAATACAGACTCCAGAGTTTTCAGCAAGACATCACCTTATATCAGGATTGTGTTGCTTTAAAGATTGATTAGTGGTGAATTCCTACCACTCTGTAATAGTAGAGTGTTCCTCTCCTCCAACAAAATGGGCAGTTGTAAGGAAGATACTTGGAAAAGTAACTCTAATTCTGAAGTCATCTTTCTCCCAGGGCATTGAAACTAAAATGAATACATAGCAGGAACTTTATTTATTAGCTGCTGACAGCAATACAAAACTCTATCTGACAAGTGTGCAAGTCAACAAAGGAACTGTCAGCCTGAGAGGCAATGATTTGCAAACTATGCTCCTGGTGTTGCATGAATATAGCTCAGGGGCAGCAGAAGGAGATGAAGTGGAGACTGAGCAGGCTGGCATCTGGTCCTTCCACTTCCCTTCCACAGTTGATGTTTTTAAATACTGAATTTCTCCATATGTTATATGAAAGTGAAATGTTTGGTTTCACTGTTTAGAACAACATTTTTTAAAACCCTTGCTTTCAAACTACTAAGCTCTCTCTCATTGAATGTGTACTAGCAGAGGCTAAAGATCCACCATGCAAGAAAGACATCAAGGAGATCCCTGCACTACATAGGAATTTGAATGAGAAGTTCCCTTCAATTCTGAGACACTATAAATCTGACATCATATTGTAATATGAAACAGTGATATTTCATACATAACCGAGGCACAACTGCTCTTTTCAGTAAATACCGCTAAACTCAAAAATCCCCACACATATGACTTAAATGTTAGATATAAAAAAACGGTGGTTTCAACACATGAGATTTTCTCTTCTCCCTCATTAAAACTTGCTAAAATGTTAGTAAAAAGAATGTTTTAAGTGTAGATCTGCAAAGACAAAGAGAAGAGGGATGAAGACAAGAACAGATGAAAGATTTCAAACTGTTTTTAAGTGAGAAATGAATAGAAAACTGACTAATGATTTACAACATAGAATAAATACAAACCTTAGTACACACAAAACTCCAGGAAAACTCTAGAGTAGGAAGCATCAAATATAGAAAAACAAGTATGTGGAGGGGTGAAGTGTGGGGCTAAAAGTTGAGATCTTCTTTGAAAGTTTGTCTTGAGAACAGGTAGATTCTGTTGTCTCCCGCCCCATCTTATGTAGCACACATTTCCCAGCCGGCAGAAAAAGGGGAGATTAGCAGATTGACCTAGAGAAGATGACCTGGAGAGACTCCAAAGTCAAGCATCCAGACATCAGGGAGGGTGAGAATGAAATACCAGACTGAAGAGAGATATAAAGGAAAGTCTGATTCTCAACAGTGGCACACTCACATGCACACTCACACACATACACACACTGCTCCCTCCCTTCCCAAACACTGGTAGTCAGGCTTATCTCTCCAAGGCCAGAAACTCTGAGTTAATTTCTGCAGAGCCTGAACAGCCCCAGAGAAAAGGCCTTCAGATACATAACAAATCTCTAGTTATTAAAAATCACTTAGCTCCTTTTCACTGTGCTGAAGCTAACTTGTTGACAAATCCAACCATTAACTAGTAGAGCTTCCAGGTAGCTCATTAGTACTCACTTCAAAATGAATCCATACCCAAGGATTACCAAAGAGTTAAGAAAAGTCTCACGTATGAAAGAAAGAGTTAAAAACAAACAAATGTATAGAAGACGGAAGAAACTCAGATTAAATAGACATAGGCTAAGTAGAGGATTGAGGCGATGAGAGTGTCCAGGACAATAGCTGTACAGCAGATCTAGAGGCCAATCAGGAGAGATCAGACCAAGCACATATAAAAAACTCAAGAAGGAATGACTTTGAGAAAAAAATAGAACTAACAGATTACCTAATAAATCTGACCATGTGGAAAATATATTACTAAGGAGTTCTCTAGTTTTGTCAATAGGCTTAGTGATAGCTCACAATAGGTACATACGTTCTTAAGGAAACAAAAAAGGTAAAGCACTTATGAAGTCCAAGAAAAAAAGTCATTTGAAAGTGAAAGCATGAGTGTATTTCTTGATATTTAAGCACTTAACAGTACTTAAATATTCAAATTAATGGGAACATAGGCTATTTAATGAAAAACTGTATTACCTCAATTGAAGTTTGAAGGAAAGGAAGAAGGTAATGTGAAATCCTCATCTACCACAAGTAGTTGAGATTACATAATGTCTAAATTTGATACAGTAGGAAATAGTAGTATGAGCATGTTGTATAAAAATGGCACTAATTACTAGAAGAAACACTGTAAAATTTGAAAGTACTTACCTCAGGGGAGTTTAATGGAGATGGCAATTGGGTTGGAAAGACAGGGGTAGGGCTAATGTTTTTCATGAAGCCTTACAGAACAATTGCATTTTAAATATGTTTGTTGATATTCAATAGTTTTTAAATAACAAGAAATGAGAGTAGGATGAGAGCAGAGAGTAAATAAACTAAACAGTGATTAAATGAACCATAGATGTTGTTATAAGACATTTAAGAAATTCAGTGATGAAAAGTCCAGAAAACAAAATTACACCAAACTAAAAATTCATAAAAGCAACTTATGAGTGAATGTATCCTTCTAATGAAACCATAATTACATGCTTCAAAGTATACTTTATCTTTCAATAAGCCATAAGTATTATTTTTAAAAGTATACTACTCATGCCAATTAACTACTAGCATAGAAGTGAACATTACTAACAGAATTAAGCTGCATTCTGAAAAAGGACTTTTTACAACAAATGTCTGTACTATTCTCCTAAACACATCTCTTTATTTTGATCAGGGAAGAGATAAAAATGAACAGTGGAGAGAGCATCCTCAAATAAAATGTATTTGCACACTTTTTTTTCTTAACTCCTTTAAAAGAATGGAAAAAAATCAAAAATAAAACTAAAAGAATTACTGACCAGGAAGTAGCTCTATGTACAGACTCTTGTTGCCAGTCAAATGGGAGACATGGCAGGTCACGGTAGACACATTGTGGCCTTCCCAGTGGCATGTACTCTTAACAGTCACTGTGCCATTGCCCCAGTACTCTTGCTCAGTAGGGGCACAATCCCCCGCTGGGATCCAGGAGATCTGCGCAGCTGGCTTCCCTGCAACTGCCTTGCATACTGCAGTTCTATTCCTGCTTTCAAACAGGGTCACTTCAGGTGTAACTGCAGAGAGGAAAGGGGAAAAATGCTTCAGTTTTCACATAAAGTGTATGGAATTCAAAGAGATATTTGTTTCAGTCACAAATCGGGTGATGTGAAATACCACAATACATGATGCTCCTTACCTAGCACTTGGAGGTGATATCCACGATGGAAATTCCCATCAGGAGTTGCCATTATGCATCTGTAATATCCGTCATGAGTGATGGCCACTGGGTAAATCTGAAGGTCCGAATTCTGATCAGGTGTGGAGACCCAGGTTATTCTCTCATCAGTACAGTTGGTTTCCTTGGTCTCATTTGTTTCTTTCCTGTAGGATTTTGTGCAGGAAGGCTGGCCTCTTAGGATTATTTCCCATGTTATTACGATCAAATTTCTGAACTCAATAGGAGGGCAACAAAGCACAGCATTTCTAGCCATCTGTACAGGCCATGAAATGTTAACTGGACGCATACATGAAAAGAGAATGATAAAAGAAAAGCTTGATAAAGAACTCCATGTGTTACATCTATCCACAACATATGAAGTTACACTAGAACATAACTTTGCTGGTGATCTTATTCCAAAAATACTAGATCTTCATAAACAATTAAAATTCTCAAAATATAAATAATATATGGAACCCAATCTAGAGATTAACCAATTTTCTCCTGTATTATGTATCATTAGAAATATTATATATAATAAAGTATTTTTGATATTAATTCAGAAGTTTTAATATCTAGAAACAAAGAGAATTGTAATTAGTGATGCGGCTGTCTCCTCCTCAGCTTTGGTGAGAACAAAAAAGTCTACTCCAAGGTTTTTGTTTCAGACAAACATAAATGTAGTATGTATTAATATATAGTGCTTTCTTTTAAAGTAACTACTATGGCATTTGGGTTGAACTAGCTAGAAATTTTTTTAAGTTCTTTTTTTTTTTTAAGAATCACAAAGTCAGTGAAATCTACAGATCTTTAAAAAAAACAAAAACTATTATTCCACCAGTTGAGCCATCCCATAAAAATGAAAAATGATAATGCCTAGTGATAAGAGATGCTTAGAAATATTTATTTCTTGTGAAAATGTAGTGTGATATATAATTTTAAAAAAACAAGATTTATTTTCCTTTAGACATTTTTTATAAAAAATATTTTATTGCAAATTTATGACATTATCAAATGTAGCCTTTGGATGAGTTTTCATTCCTTCCTATTTAGTCACACATATACTTGCAGATAGTTCAGATGTGAACTTAGCTCACAGATTTTATTTCTGTATATTCAACCCAGTTATCAACAATAAAGGCGTAAGTTGATCCCTGTTGTCCATCATTTAAAGGAAAAATTAAGCCCTGCATCCTACAAGCATCTTCCAACATAGAACCTCACGCATCCCAAAAATTCACACAATGTGTCAGTGACTTTGTAAGGGTTTGCTGAGAGGTGATTAGTCCACCAAAGTATTTGTCACTACTCACTTGTAACAAAGGTGAGTGTCAGTGATTTCATCACTATAGCATAAGCAGAATCAGCTATAGAGGGGCAAACCTTTATGTGGATGAAGGATGTTTTTGCTAAACCCTGCATTTGATATCTCTCCTATCCTGTTTTGGTGTCACCTGTCTCTTATGTGGTTTGTACTCTAGCCCTTGCATTTCATAGCCAATTAATAAGTACATAACTAGATGAAGAAAGCAGTAATACTTTAACATAGATCTGAAAGGTAGTTAAATCCATGCTCCTTCCGCCACTCTACGTTAGCAAAGGTTCAGAGACAAGCAAGAACATGGCTTGTCTGGAGAACAACTAGAGGTTGGGTCATTCAGGATGCCTCATACCACAGTTCTCAGATCACCAAGTTCTTCAAGTAGTCATAAGGCTGGCTTCCAGTCAGGTCATTAGCTAATATTTCTAAGAAAGTTCAACTTTCCATCCCTCAGTGCTGGCCACTAGTAAGGAAGCATATTACCTTCTGCGAGTACTTTTGAGTGGTTCTGTGTAATCTGTTTTTCATCCATACATAAACTGTTTGAAGCTAGAAAATATTTAGAGAAGAATAAATGAAATCAATTTTATGTACTCAGAGTGGAAGCCAGTATCTCTCCATAAAGTCTTATTCAACATAATAGGCAATCAGTTCACCATAATTAAAATTACACAAAAATCATTGTAAAACAGAAATTAGAAGTCATGCCATCATTAGGGGACAAAATGTGTTAATATCTTGAAAATAATAAGTGGTTAATCAATAACTTCTCTTTCATGATACACCTGGTTTTGAACTATTTTGAAAAAGGTAAACCTGCCTCTACTGCATCCTTCTTCCTCAGCCAGGGAGATTAGTCCATGTGAGCATCTCACTGAGCTGGTCGAATTATATCCCTTTCTTCAGCTACGAGTTCCCAATCAAAGTTATTTGGTCCAATGTTGGGCACCTCACCCAGGTGAATACAGCAGTGCCCTTTCTCAAGAATTTTAGAAGCAAAACTGAGAAGGGTCCGTCCATCTCTGTTCCTTTCTCATTTTTTTCTACGTATTAGAGTGCAAACGGAAAAATATAGAAGAAGCAGATGTCAGCAAGATGACTGACTGGAGGCCCTGGTGCACATCTCCACGAAAAGAAAGCAATAAAAAGACAGCTAAGATTCTACTGGAGTATCAAAGGGAGAGTGCGGGAGTGCAGAAAAGGAGTGGAGAGGTGCCTGTGGTCATCAGAAGCTCAGGAAGGAAGCATAAAAGCACCCTGCCTCTGGCACCCTCCTCCCACATCCTCTTCCTGGACTGCTCCAGGCTCAGGAGGGACTTCCTCTTGCAGGGAAAACATAAGCAGAAGAACCCCACCAGCCCCTATAGCTACCAAAAAGAGTTACTTCAAGAGAATTTCACAGTCCTCACAAGCCCTGAGCCTAGTTTGGAGTGCTACCAGGAATTCACACGGCTGCATTCCTCCAGATAAGGGGCACAATGTATGCACCTGCTACCTCCCACCCACCCTCTGTGAGCCAAGCTGCGCCAGCAAGGGGCCATCATGGACTAGAGCCACTTTTGAAGTACACCCTGTCCTGGGGACAAATAGCCACTGTACCACTCCAGCCCACCAGCCGGCTATACCTTTGCTGCATGGAGCCTGGGCTCAGGATTGGCTGTGACTCTGGTCCTGCACAGTAGGTAAACCAATCCCCTCTCCCCACACTTCCAGCCGGAGAAACAGTCTGGCAGTCCTACCCAGGACAAACCTGCCATTGAGCTGACCAAACCACTGCATGCCCTCTGAGAGGACCCAGCAGCTGACATAACCCTAGGCCAGCTGAGTGTACATGCATCCTCGCCCAGGGTCTGAGAAACAGTCCTGTGCCTCCTCCCCAAAAAACATGCCCACAGACGTGTCTCCCGGCCTCCCCAGCAGCCCCATGCCCTCACTCAAGGCCTGAGAAATAGCCCTGCGAGCCCTCCACATGGCAGACACACCTCCGGGACTAATCAGCAGCCCCATACCCACACTCGGGATCTGGGAAACTGTCAAGGGTGTCGCTCCCAGAGGACACACCCCCAGACCTACACATCGGTTCCATACCCACAATCAGGGCCTGAGAAACAGCAGGGCAGATCCACTCCCAGGGGACATCCCCCTACGCCAGCCCAGCAGTCACAAGATCACACCCAGGTCCTGAGAAACAGCCCCACGAGCTCGCTGTTGGCAAACATAACCCCAGGCCTTCCAAGGGGCCCCGTGCCTGTAACCAGAGCCTAAGAAACAACCCAGTGGATCCACCACTAGTGGAAACTCAGCCAGGCCAGCTGAGTGTCTGCATGCTCATGTCCTGGGCCTGAAAAACAGACGAGGGGCCCCTACCCTGAACACAACCCTAGATTGACAGATGGTGTATTCACACCCAGGATCTGAGAAACAACTCAGCAGGCATGCCCCTGGTGGACATACCTATAGAGCAGCGGAGCAGCGGGGGACCTGTGCCCAGAGCCTGAGAAATAACCCGGTGGCCCACTCGCAGCAGACATTCCCCCCAGACTGGCTGAGGGGCTGCCCACCCACTCCAGAACCTAAGAAACAGCCCAGTGGGTTCACTCCTGGCAGACATGCCCTGAGGATAGCCAAGCAACCATGTGCTTGTGCCCTTGGCCAGAATAAGAGCCCCATAGTCCCAAACCCAGCAAGCCAGATGCCAAGTGGAGCAACCCACCATGAGCACACAAGCACCCATGACCTGAAAAGCAGGCTGGCAAACCAACTCCCATCAAAGCTGTGCCACTGCTGCCACAAACTCTCACCACCTAGGTCATAGGGATGCTTGCGAACATCACTAGAATGGGTTACATATGAATAAGCTTTTTCTTAAGAAGCCCACACCATAAAATTAGAAGAGGCGACAGTTGCACTAGATATGTAGGTATCAACATAGAAACACATCAAACATGAAAAAGCAAGAAAATATGGAATACTATTCAGCCATAAAAAATGAAATCTTGTCATTCACAGCAACATGGATGGAACTGGAGGATATTATGTTGAGTGGAATAAGCCAAGAACAAAAAGCCAAACATCACATATTCTCATTCTATGCAGAAGCTTAAAAAAAGTTGGTCTCATAGAAGTAAAAGGCAGAACACAGGCTTCTATAGACTACAAAGGGTAGGGGAAAGCGGGGAATACAGGAAATTTCTTGAAGGGCACAAAATTATAGCTATGTAGGATGAACAAGTTCTATTGTTTTATAGTATTGTAGGATGACTATAGTTCACAATAATATATCACATATTTTCAAAGAGCTAGAAGAGGGTATTGAATGGTGCCAACACAAAGAAATAATGTTTGAAGTGAAGGATATGCCAGTTACCATGATTCCATTACTACAAATTGTATGTATCAAAATATTACTACGTACCTCATAAATATGTGCAAGTATTATGTGTCAGTTAAAATTAATATAAATAAGGAAATAAAGCAGAAGCAGGAGAGGAACAGAGATGAGAGTCCTCATCTAGTTCAACTTTCTACTTCCATAATTTCTGAGACCAACATGCATTCCTTCCCTTGAGCTCTGTAGAATTTTTTACAATCACAATAGTTTTAACTTATTTCAAATTTTGTTTTTGAAAAGTTGCTATATTGTAGCTTAAAAAATGAAAAAAATAAGAAATACTTTAAATAATAATGACTAAGAATTTTCTCCAAATTAATGTCAGACACTAAACCATAGATCCAAGAAACTCAGAGAATGCCAAGCAGAATAAATGCCAAAAATAACCTACATCTAGATGTATTATTTTCAAATTACAGAAAATCAAATGTAAAGAAATACTTCAGAAAGAAGCCAGAGGGGAAGAACACCTTACCTACCAAGAAGCAAAGAAAATAATTATAACCTGTATTTTTTAAATCATCGCTAGATTACTTATAAAACCTAATACAATGCCTGTATATCACTACATCCTGTGGATTCAATGTAGTAAGGCAAATCCAAGTTTTGTTTTTTGGAACTTTGTGGATTTTTTTCCAAGTATTTCCAATCCATGATTGGTTAGATCCACAGATTTGAAACCCATGGATACAGAGGGCCAACTCTATTTGTAAAAGACATAGCCGATAAAAGACTTTTATCCAAAACACACAAAGAACTCTTAAAACTCGGCAATGTGCAAGCAAACAACCAGATTAAAAAACAGGTCAAAAATCTTAACAGACACTTTACCAAAGAAGATATATATGGAAAATGTATATATTTATGGAAAATAAGCATACAAAAAGATGCTCTACATCATATGTCATCAGAGAAAGGCAAATTAAAACAACAGTGAGAACCACTACACACCAAAGGCGAGGAGTGGAGCAACAGGAGCTTTCATTAATTGGTAGCAGGAATGCAGAGTGATACATCTACTTTGAAAGACAGTTTGGCAGTTTCTCACAAAACTAAGCAATCTCCTACCATGCAATCCAACAATCATGCTTTTTGTATTTATCCTAAGAGTTGAAAACTTACATCCATACAAAAACCTGTGCATGGGTGCTAATTGCAGCTTTTTTTCATAACTGCCAAAACTTGGAAGCAGCCAAGATGTCTTTTACCAGGCAAAGAAACAAACTGTGGTATAGTCAAACAATGGAATATTATTCAGGACTTTAAAAAAAAGAGCCATTAAGACATGGAAAGTCATGAGGGACACTTAAATGCATATTATTAAGTGAAAAAAAGCCAGTCTGAAAATGCTGCATACTATAACATTCCAATTACATGACACCCTGGAAAAGACAAAATTATGGAGACAGTATATCAGGATTGCCTGGGGTTAGCAGGCAGGGAAGGATGAATAGGTAGGATTTTTAGGTCAATAAAATTACTCTGTAAAATATTATCATGGTGGAGACATGTCGTTATGCATTTGCCTGAAAACATTCATATTCAACACTACGAGTGACCCCTAACGCAAACTTTGGACTTTTATAACGGGATAATGATGATGTTTCAATGTAGGTTCATTAACTGAAACAAATGTACCACTCTAGTCGGGTATGTTAATAATGGGGGAGGCTTTGCATGTGTCAGGGCAGAGTTATACGGGAAATCTCTGTACTTTCTCTGTACTCAATCTCGGTACTCAATTGTGCTATGATCCTAAAACTTCTCTAAAAAAATAAAGTCTATTAACTTTTCTTTTCTGTTTCAATGTTAATTATAATGGCAAACAAAAATTTTGGAGACAGTAGGGTTGAGAGAGGATATAGAAAATAAATCATTAACATTTACCTGCTTATTAAAAAGTGCTATGGGATAATAATCTAGGTTTCAAAAGTTGAATAACAAATTTTTTGAATAGGCCATGGTTTTGTTTAGTGATCCCATTCTTAAAATAGGTACTAAATAAGCATAGAAATAATTTCAGAATGAAAATTTCATCAACACTCTTAAATATAATATCATTTAGATAATACAGATAATGCATGAGACAATTCAAGATCCTGATATGTAAAACTTATATGGACATCAAGCACTCCCCTACTAGAATTATTAATAAAAGATGGACATTACCTAAAGTATGATTCTCCTTGCTAGTTTGCAGCATTAATGAGTTGTTTGATTGAGCAGCACCCTCCGCTTCTGAATATATGCATTTTGAAAAAGACATCGGGGGAGAGAGAAACATGCATTAATAGATCTGACTCCTAGTTAAAGTCATATTTTTTCACATTCTTCAGACTATTTTTGTATTGCAGTTACCAATGAATATCTAAATTATGACAGCCAAGCAAAAGTCTTGGCAAAATTTTTCCCAGTATAAACTTTTGACTTGCTCTTCCTGACTCTGGCATAGTCCTGCTTTAAGCCCAGAGTGCCCATCACTACCCGCCCCCCGCTCTTGCTTTATATTCAAGTCTTCTTCCAGGCTTATATGCATTTAGTCTATCTCTGAGTGTGGAAGAAATTATTTTACTATCTTTTACAGGCTTTTCAAGCACCAATGAGGAGGTAAAAATAGTTTAGTGGGGACTATTGATTGGATGCTGGTATGGAACAAAAGGATTTTCCTAAGCATTGTTGAAATCACATCATAGAATCTATGATGGGAAAAAGGTCCCGAACCTTTTTGGCACCAGGGACCCATTTTGAGGAAGATAATTTTTCCATGGACAAGGGAGAAGGGAGCGTGATGGTTCTCGGATGAAACTGTTTCACCTCAGATCATCAGGCATTAGTTCAATTGTCATAAGGAATGCATGACCTAGATTCCTGGCATGCACAGTTCACAATAGGGTTCATGCTCCTGTGAGAATCTAATGCCTCCAACTGATCTGACAAGAGGTGGAGCTCAGGCCGCAATTCTCACTCACCTGCCGCTCACCCACTGCTGTGCAGCCCAGTCCCTAACAGGCCAAGGACTGGTACCAGTCTGCAGCCCCGGGGTTGGAGACCCGTGATATAGATAATGGCCTATTAAGTTGACATTTCTGTAAGGCAAGCTCTTAGTGAGAACTGGTAGTACACATCTTTTTAAGCAGCAATTATTGGCAAAGTACTCTGCTAGCACAGAGACATCATAATAAACAATACTCCCTTTTCTCCAAGAGCTTAAGATCCAGGAGAGGCAGCAGCTAGGGAAACAATTACAATGCAAAGTTTTCAGTGCAATGATCGAAGCTGCATGTGATGTACAGAAGTTTAAAAGAAGAGATGTTTAAATTCTAGGAAAACAGGAGTAAGAGATTAGGCATGCTTTCCTATAATAAGTAATTTTTTAGCTGGATCTAAGTACATAAGGAGTTTTCCAAGAAGACAGAAGGGAAAATGCAAACAAAAATAACGGCATTTAAAGGAGGTACAAAGCCAAATACAAATTTACAAGAGTTATAAATAGCTTAGTATTGCCATGAAGTGAGAAAATCTGGATGTATAATTGGAGTTGAGGCTGGATATTGGCAGGCTCTAACTGTGCAAGGCACAAAGCTCCTAGAATGTGTTCATAAGGAAAAGATACACTTGTAGCTTATCTACAGTGAGTGTATCTGACTAGCAAAGAGACACATTTGGAGTAAAATGTAATGCTCAGTGTTTCTCTGGAAAAAGTTTGAATCTAATGCCCCTTTCAGCTGCCATTTTCTTTAACAAACTGTTCTTTCAAGATAATTTATTGAATGAGTATAATAGGAATAGATTTTGGGTAATTTGCCTATGTTCTTTATTTCCATCTCTCTATAACTAGCAGATATTATTATTCTCATTTTACGGATAAAGAAATGTAGATTAAGTGATTAAGCAATTTGACCAAGACTTCCTGACTAGTAAGTTGCTTCAGTTACCCAATTATGAATCTCAGTGCAAGTAAGCCTTACTGCTATGAGTAGAAATCAAGGGTTAGAGCCTAAGAAATATGCTAGGATAGATACACAACCCAAATTAACCCAAACTGAAGTGAGTTTAAGCCATGTTATTGCAAGTTGAGAGACAAACTTTTAAAAAAGCAGATCAAATGGCAAGTCCATAAAATCATGATTACAAAGGCACCTGGACACAGACATTATGAATTCTAGATCTGAATGGGAATAGTTAAGTTACGGAAGAGACAACTGTCAGAATTCATGGGCTTAGAACAGTGGCTTGCTCAGCTCCCTGGTATATGGCTGGATGAAGCTGGATTAAAAATAAAGGTCAACCCAAACCTGTAGCAAACTGGACTAAACATATGGACAGAGATTTTATGGAAAAAGAAGTGAAAATGTCTCTTAGTCATATGAAAAGATATTCCACATCAGTCATGGGAAGAGGAATCCGAATTAAAAGTATTTGGAAATACCCTTTCTCATCTATAACTGGCAAAATCCAAAAGCTTGACAATATACACTGTTGGGTGAGGTTGTGGAGAGATAGGTATGTCTGTATGTTGGTATTGTTCAATTTTATAGTGAGGAAGAAAGAAGATATAGATGTAAAATAAGTAAGTTTAATACAAAAATTAGCCAGGCGTGGTAGCAGGCGCCTGTAATCCCGGCTACTTGGGAGGCTGAGGCAGAGAATTGCTTGAACCCAGGAGGCAGAGGTTGCAGTAAGCTGAGATCGAGCCACTGCACTCCAGCCTGGGCAACAGAATGAGACTCTGTCAAACAAACAAAACGAAAAAAAAAGAAAAAAAGAAAAAAAATCCCTCAGTCCTAAATTTTAATGGAAAGTATCAGTATCAACTTAAGATGTATTTTTCTTTCAAAATACCTATTTCTTATCTGCTGCTAAGTTGGGGGGGGTAATTCATTACATAGTTATAAACAACCAATAAAGCTATCATCCACATTGACCTAATTCATATTTTTAGAACACTAACCCAGCATCTGCAGAATACAGTCTTTGCAAGTGCACATCGTATGTTCACTGAGTTTAACTACATTCTTTGCCACAAGTCTCAAAAACTTTAAAAAAACTAAAGTCATACAAAAGATGTCCTCCAACTGAAACAGAATTAAATTAGAAATCAATTACAATGAGATTTTTAAGAAAATACCAAATATTTAGAAATCAAACACATTCCTAAGCAACCCTTTGCTCAAAGAAGAGATTCATAAAGAAATTATTTTTCACTGGATAGTAATGAAAATACAACATGCCAAAATTTGAAATAAGCAGCTAACACAGTGGTTTTAGGAAAAGTAATACCTTTAGGTGCTAATTTTAAAGGAAGAAAAGTGTAAAATTTGCCCACGGATGCAAGAAACAAAAGAGAGAAAAGACAGTAAGAAATCTAAGAACAGAAATCAATAAAATAGGAAACAAGTAATGCAAAGAATTAAGGAAATCAAAAGCTGCTTCTTTAAAAAGATCATCAACGTTTATAAATCAACAACTAGATTGATCAAGAAAAAAAATAGAACACAAATCTCTAATATCAGGAAGGAAAGAAGGGTCATTCATACAGATTTACATTCGTGAAAGGAAAAATGAGGGAATATTATTAACAATATTATGCTAAACAAATACAGTAATAGTTGAAATGGACAAATTCTTTGAAGACAAAGCTTTTGACACTTAAGAATAAAAAAACTGAAAAGCCTTATATTTTTAAAATACTGAATTTGTTGATAAAAAGCCTTCTATCAAATTGGCTACACTGACAAATGTAAGCAAACATGTAAGAAAAAAATAATACTAATTTTACACCAAATCCTTTTAGAAAATCAAGGAGAGAACACTTTCTAACCCATTTTATGAAGGCAGAATTAACTATATATCAAAACTATATAAACACATTACAAATTAAAAAACAATAACTGGCAACACTTACAAATGATACAAATTTTTCACAAAATATTAACAAATCAAATCTTGCACTATGTAAGAAGTAAAATATTAGGCATAGAATTTTCAGAGATGCACTTTAACAGTTTTTCTTCTCTTCCTAGAACTAAATGAACTTAATAAAGTAATAACATAAAATACTAATAATACTTTAAAACAATTACATTTTTCGATACTAGCACAAAAAATTGGAAAATGAAATTTTTTAAATGTTTACAATAATGCAAAAAAATACCTAGGAAAAAAAGGTAATAAAAGTTGTGTAAGACCTGTATAATGAAAACTATAAAATATTGCTGAGATGAATTAGATAAACCCTATATAATAGAAAGTCCCAATATTATTAAGATGTCAGTTCTCCTCAAGAACAGTCTCAATCAAAATGTGGTAGTCTTTTCTGTGTAAATTGAGAAGATAATTATAAAATTCATATATGAATGCAAACCTAGAATAGCCAAGCTGCTTATTTAAAAAGAACAACAACAGAAAAAGAGAGAGAGAAAAAATCTACTTAAGTTTAAGCTTAACTCTGAAGCTGCAGTAATCAAAACAATCTGGTCTTGGCTAAAAGATAATCACATATATCAGTGGAATATAATACATAATCCAGAAATAGACACACACATATATACTTTCTTGACTTTTATCTCTTTGGGTAAATTTATCAATTTATCTCTTTGTATTTTATTTTCTGTAGCTATTAAAAATGGGATTTTCTTTACTTCTTTCTCAGATAGTTCACTGTTAGTGTATAGAAAAGCTACTAATTTTTAATGTTGATTTTGTATCCTGCAATTTTACTAAATTCATTTTTTAGTTCTAAGAATTTTTCGTGGAGTCTTTGAGTTTTCCATATATAAGATCATGTTGTCTGCAAACAGAAATGATTTGACTACTTTTTTTTTTTTTTTTTTTAGACAGAGTTTTGCTCTGTCGCCCAGGACGGAGGGCAATGGTGCAATCTCGGCTCACTGCAAGCTCCGCCTCCTGGGTTCACGACATTCTCCTGCCTCAGCCTCCCGAGTAGCTGGGACTACAGGCACCCACCACTATGCCCGGCCAATTTTTTGTATTTTTAGTAGAGACAGGGTTTCACCGTGTTAGCCAGGATGGTCTCGATCTCCTGACCTTGTGATTTGCCCACCTCGGCCTCCCAAAGTGCTGGGATTACAGGCGTGAGCCACCACGCCCGGCCAACTTCTATATTTTCTATCTGGATCCCTTTATTTATTTCTCTTGCCTAATTCCTCCAGCTAGAACTTCCAGCATTATGAGGAAATATTAACAACTTTATGCTCCCAGTACCACGTTGAATGGAA